ACCTCAAATATAGTGTAACTGAAAACCCAAATTTAGAGGCCTAGGTGTTCATTTTTCCTTTATATTATTTCCTCATTTTTTAATATTATTATTGTAATATGTAACCTGTGGATCTAATATTTTAATTTATTCAGTTCTCACCCACCGTTTTTTGACCAGAATCTTGGAGAGAATAAAGTTCATGTACAACATATTGATCCTTACTTTTCCTTTCCTTCACTCCTTCTCTCATCTGTCACATTCCCAATGGATGGTAAAGTCTTAATCTCAGACTGTTATTCTGCAGAGCCTCTTTAGGGCACTATGCATGTCCCTATTCCTCAGGCTGTAGATAAAGGGATTCAACATAGGAGTGACCACAGTGTACATCAGAGAGGCCACCATACCCTTCCCCGGAGACTGTAACACAGCTGAACCCAAATACACTCCAATGCTTGTTCCATAAAATAAACAAACAACTGACAGGTGAGACCCACAGGTAGAGAAGGCTTTATGCCTTCCACCTGATGATGGAACTTTCAGAATGGAAGAAAGAATTTTACAGTAAGAGTAAAGATTCCATGAGATGGGAAAGAATCCAAATATAAAAGCAAATAAATACATTGATATAGTATTGGTAAAGGGATCTGAACAGGTATGGTTAAGGATTTGAGAAGGCTCACAGAAGAAATTAGCAATTTCTACATTTTTGAAGCAGGTAATTTGTAAGGCAATCGTATTGTGTGTCTGTGAGTCCAAAACACTAACTAAGAAAGACACCAAGAGTAAGGAGGCAGTGGAGCAAGGGTTCATGATGGTGTGGTAATGTAGAGGGTAACAGATTGCCACAAACCTGTCATAACCCATCACAGTCAGGAGCATGTGATCCATACATCCAAATAAGATGTAAAAAGACATCTGTGTCAGGCAGCCCACATAGGAGATGACTCTGTTCTGAGTTACGTTGCCCACAATCATCTTTGGGACCATGGTGGAGATGAAGCAGATATCAGACAAAGACAGGTTGGAGAGGAAGAAGTACATGGGGGTGTGGAGGTGAGAGTCAGAGATGACAGCCAGGATGATGAGCAGGTTCCCGAGCACTGTGACCAGGTACATGGACAGGAACAGTCCAAAGAGGATGAGCTGCAGGTCTGGGTCTTCTGAGAAGCCCAGGAGATGGAATTCAGAGAAACTTGTGAGATTCTGTGTTTTCATGCTTTTTGAGAACTTTTCAAAAATAAATGTCATTTGAAAAGTAAAACAGACACACGGTAATACACATTTTTTTAAAATATTCACAGATAAAGTATTTATAATTGAAGTCCAAAGCCTTTACCAACACTGCTCAATTGTGGAAAAGCCAATTCCTCAAGACGTTCTCATAATTGACTTTTTTGTTATCCATCTCCAACTATACACACTTACTGTAGAAGCATTCTTCTAAATAATGATGCTTTATACTTCAGAACATCACAATTTCAGTGAAATACATCCAATTCCTTGAAGAAAAATAAAAGAGAGAAAGTAGAGACATCCCCCTTTAAGAAAAAAAATTTTTTGGAGTTAAATTAAGAAACACTCAATATACATTTTTTTTCATAAAATGATACCAAGTACCTTAATTTGGGGTACAAGTAGGTATTAAAGTCTAGAATTTTATTATCTGAATATTAAATTAAATCTGATGGCTCATAATCAGAACACATTATGCTGAGATCCAGTTGTCTTTGAGGAGTTTTTCATTAATCTTGGATTTCCTTTTTTTCCCTTTGAAGAATGTAATTACTCTTTCAAGCTTTGTTCCACATTAAAATTTTACAATAATTTCTTTTTTGGGGGTGGTTACTGTGGATAAAAATCAGGTCCTTGGGCTTACGAGGCAGGCAGTAAAACCACTTAGGTAAATTTTACAATAATTTCTATCCTTGGTTTAAGTGCACTTACATTTTCTGCAATAATACTTCAGTCGGGTGAAGGGAGGGCAAGGATAAGGGGGAAAAAATGAGAATCAAGACTTGTCATGTAGAGGTACAAGATCCCAACAATGTATGTAACTGTACTGTATCCCTGAAATGTACCAATAAACACAATTAAAGCTGGAAAAAAATAATACTTCAGTCAAGCTTAAATGATATAAGGACATACAGACCACAAATGTGATATTGGTGTACTTTCAAATATTAATGATTCAAATAATTATAAATTATAAGAAGCACCTGTGACATCTGTAAGGTTGTAGAGAATTGTTTTAAGCAACACTTTCCAGTGTCAATAAAATATGTGTTTGTAAGACACTGCCTTTTCATTGATTCAGAATTCTACACTAGGGCGGTAATATAATTTACTGTTTTTCTGATCCTTTTACAGCACAGGACTGATTCCTCTACTGCAAGTCTCCTCTTTCTGCTACATGGAAGACATTTGTTAGGCATGTTTTCTTTTTTAGGCCACACTATAAATTAGTTGGAAAACATGCCAAACAGGAAAGCAAGTTAAATAATTTATACATAATTGAAATTATACCAGCACAAGAAAAATATACTTAAACTGATGCAAATACCTCTCCCCACAAAGTTATGGCCCCTCATTTATAAAATGATGACTTACCTTATATGGTTGTACTAATTCTTTTCTTTTAAATTAAATAAACACTGGTTCTGTATAATTAATGTATAGATTTGCTTGGAGAATTTTTTAAAGTCCAGCTACTCAAGTCTCAGACCAAAAGTAATTCAATGAGAATATATGCATTGCAATTTCTTTTGATATTTTGTAAAACAGCATTGAAAACCACTGTCATAGAATATATCCTGGCATTCAGAAAATACTTCAGTGTTATAAATAATAACCACCATCTATTAACACGAAAATTTTAAAATATGAACATCAAAACTAATAATTTATTGAGATCCAGAAAGTGACCTAAATGTTGGCATTTTTTGTATCTGTACATGATTTCATTCTCTTGAACACTTGTTCCCATGAAATTTTACTATCATAGATTTCTTAAGTACATCATTTTCCTGTCAAATTTTCCAAAACCTTACCACAAAATACCTAAAACTCATTAAATAAGTTTACAACAGCAATACCTGTTGAATCTGAAATGGAATAGGTTCCATGAGCAACTGTTTGTAAATCTTCCTGAGGGGAACACAGATCTAATGTAAATATTTTAATTGATGCCAAGCCTTACCTTGGAGAATGACCTCTTTTAATTTCTAAGTTCATTGTGAAAACTTCCCAGTCACTTATTAAAAATCTGTATAAAATATTCACTAGGCATACTTCTGATTTCTAAAAATTAATGTATATCAAATTTTACAATTCTTTGATTATATTTATTTTGCAAAACAATGTCCTGCATTATCACTTACAGCCTTTCACTCTGAAGATACGCTATAGGAATATTTCTACAGTATGTGTTGCAATGATGTATTTATTAAAAGAAAGGAAATATTATCATCATATAGAGAATTATATTTCCATTAGTCTATGGTGGAGAAGATTGCTCTGGGATGGGAGTCAGAAATGAACGTTTATTTCCATATTACTGACCTGTTTCAAGAGGTAGAATATGGGTGAATCTATCCCCCTGTCTGCGCTTATGCTACTTAAGGAAAATCGAAAGAATTATACCCACCTGCACAGGTGTGACAATGATAAGAGTTCAGAACTTCAGAATTCAGTCATTGTTTTTGTTTTTAAAATAAAGAAATATCACTATGCAAGAAGACAAAATATGGTGACGAGCATTCAAGTGACCCTGCAACATGGAATGCTGGGAAGTTATGACATTTGTCTCAGCCTTAGGCACGGCTTGACCTGCACAATTTTCATTGTGTTTCCATTTTTTTTTTGTGAAGAGTATCTCTGTGGTGCTTTAAGTGGTAGATATAGATGTACTTAATTAATGACACACACATGACACACACATGAGCCTTTTTATGTTTCGGTTCCTCTAAGGGGCAGTCATGAAAAGTAAGGCATGTGAGGAGAGAACATACCAAGTGGGTCCAAGGCATGCTGGTCAATGACAGTTATTGTTTCTCTTGTGAACTAGACAGGGTCCATTCAGTATTTGAAAGACATTTTTTAAATCAAGGATGCCTCTTGTCTTGAACAAAGTATAGACTGTGGAGAGTCAGATGTAAGGAATAATACATTATTTCTCTCCAAATTGATGCATATAATTACAGACTAAAAAATAAAATGCCCGTTACAAAAGTAGGAAAATGATAAGTTCAGACCATAGACGTTATTGAATAATATTAAGATCTCCTTGTAATCAGCAAATTTTATACCTACATTCTATTTTCCCTAATTTGATATTATATATATTAACCCCATGTGGAGCAATCATTGTCCATTTAACCCATACACAGGGCAGTTGTGCCAACCACCAATCAATACAAATTACCTTGTTATGTCCCAGAGATACTGATGACCTTTCCGGTATCACAGAATTAATAAGTGGAATTGAAAAGATTAAAAATTAATCTCACACATTCTTTCCAATGAACTGCAAGTTTCACTGTTGCCTAAGCAGCAGAAATATTTAGGCGGATGTAATGCAGTTTTAACCACAAGAACATGAGATACACTATTTAACTCTCTTACTCACTAAATGGAAATTTGACCCAGACCTTTTATGTCCCCAAGTGATATTGTATGAAATAACTGCATGCACAAAAAGGATGTGGAAAGCTGACAGAGTACAGTGCAGTTGTAGCAGGAGAGAAATATGTGCTGTATTAGCAAATGTATGCTCTTGTTTAATCTTTGCTTCTGACCTACTTCTGTCCTGGTGCCACACCCTGCTCTGTTCTGTGTGCTAATGACAGGGAAAACTTTTATAAATAACACAAACCTATAAAGTGTTACAATGTAAAATGGCTTCTGCTGTCTCTAACAGCAGTTTGCTCTGTTTAGCTCAGAACGAATAGGCACTGAAGGCACTAATTGCTGGATGAGGTGTTTGGTCTTACCCTGATATAACAGGGCACATCAAGGTCTTGAGATCCGAAGAGACTGGAGCCACATGGTAGTAAAAGAATCAAGATGAAAGAACCCATTGCTAACCTTTACTCCCCTGACCGTGAACATCCTCTTTCCTGTGGACAAGAATAGATAAGTAAGTGAATCTTAAAGGTAAACTCCCCAACTGTGAAGAATTGTTATGACTACATTGAGATTAACTATTCTGTGACTGTGATTTGAACAATGAGAATGAAATGAAACCACCCAAATTAAGTCAATGCTGTGAAACCCTATAAAAGGAGGAGTTGTAACCCAGTGCATCGTGGATCCAGGTACGGCTTATGTATGATCAACCCTTATCGATTAATAAATTTGTTATTTTATTTCCCTTCTGCTGCGTCTCTGTGCGTCACTTACTGCTTTATTCCATAACACTAACAAAAACCCCCAAAAGGAAGAGCACAGGCATCTTTTCCTGAAGTGCCAGCAATGTGAAATGCTAGGTTGTGTTCTTAAAGGGACAATCTGCAGGGACTGGTATTCATTGTTCTCTGTCTGAAATCAGTTTTACCCAAAAACCTACTCAGATTCTGTTAACATTACAGGGTCTTCCATTTCTACTGGAAATGATAATATGGCTTGTAAATATAAGGAAACAAAACACAAGAAATGAAACAAGCTACCTACAATGCAGCCTCCATGCCTGGCATACAGGAAGCCCTCCAAATCAGTTCAGGATGTTATGGTTACTGTCCTCTTCTTCCATACCCTTAGCATTGCATTTGTCATCCTTTTGGAGTGTCTAGAAAACACTGCAGAGGGAACCCGTTTCTGCTATTATAAGTGAGAAACGAATGGAAAACAGAATTTGTAGAAAGCAAATTTAACATAATAATTCTTCCTTCACCACTACCAGTAAGAACATAAAATTTCCATTTTAATGACTGGTATTTTGATATTTATTCTTTCCCATCTGACTAGCAAAACTGTCATTTTTGTCCTTACAGCAAGGAAAACATATTTCAAGCATCCTTTCCAAATGTATGAGTTACCTCTGCACTTACTGGGTGGTGCTGTTTCTCTGCTCGGTCATAGTAAATTAGAGCAGATCCAAAGATTCTCTTATGTCTGCTGCCCAACAGAACATCAGGCTCTGTCCTCAGGATTAAAAGTGATACAAATTCAGGTAGGAACTTTATGAATCAGACCACTACAGACAGTGAGATACAACCATGGAGCTCACTTGAGTGGAGTTAGCAAACTGAAGGATGGAAGGCACAAGAAAATTACTGACAGCTATATGACATTTGAGTCTCAATGCACAGCACTCATAATTAGCCAAACTGGCCCGTGCCATTCCAACCTCTAAGGAATTTGTAATCTAATGATGAAGGAGATAATAAATAAATAAATATTGAGAAGATGTCTTGAGTTCTCCCTATATTCAGAAAAGGCTGTGGGTCCTAATCAAATCTGTTTGTGCATAACGTTTAAATAACTATTTATGTTAATTTCATTTTTGAGGTAAAATTCACATAACACATTGTATGCGCATCAGTGACTATTATTACCTTCATATTTTCCTGAAACACTCAATATTCTACAGCTTCAAGAACATTTCATTTTCCAATCTGAATATTAATACCTGACTTTAAATTTCTCTCTCACCCACCCAGCAGTATACTATGAACAATTATAAGAAATTGCTTTCAAAATCACAATACTAATATGCCCAGAGAGGGAGAACTGATAATTCTAAATATTAGGTTACCTTCTTTTTGCTAAACTATATTTAAATGGATGTCACAGGTATTGAATCTAGAATTTTCATCTGTGAAATCTTCTGAGGTACTTTTACTGCCTCTATTCTTCAGGCTGTAAACAAAGATATTTAGAGCAGGCATGACCACAGTACATTATAGAAGCTGGCACCCTGTTTCTGGGAAATTTTAATAAAGCTGAACCATCATGTACTCCCAAACCTGTTCCATGTGATAAGCGAACAACTGACAGTAGGGACTCATAAGAAGAGTAGATTTGGGTTGCAGATTCAGTTCAGTGGTTCTAGCACCTGCCTCACAAGCACAAGGGCGCAAGTAGGATCCCTGGAAACACCCCCCAAAAAATAAAAGAGAGAAGATTTTATTCTTAATTTCATCATGGTGATTTTCATTGTGGGAAAAGAAACTGTAATCTGATAAAGTGATCCATTAGATTGAGTTGGGGAATAACATGGAACTAGAGATATATTTTACTGTTTCTGGGGAATTTGTCAAAATAGGCAAGATTAAGGAGATGGGAAACATTACATAAGAAATTTGCAATTTTTCACATCTTTGAATAGGTAAACTACAAGAGAATAAAATTAGGCAGTGAGAAACCAAGCACTGTGCAAAAATAACAATCAAAACCACAAATGCACAAAGGCAAGTATTTCTGAAGTTCCAGAACTTTGGTGAGGTACAGAGGGTCACAAACTGACTTTAGTCTATTACAGTCAGAAGCATGACATCCATACCACAAACAGGAGAGAGAGAGAGAGAGAGAGAGAGAGAGAGAGAGAGGTCATGTAGCCTACGTGGGGGATCACTGCTATGAGGTTGGATGTATATAGTCATGTTTGTGACCATGGTGGAGATGAAAGTTAGCTCAGGAGAGGTGGAAGAGTAGAAAACCACTGAGATGTGAAGGTGAGAGCCAGAGCTGACAGCAAGTAGTAAAGGATTCTTGTGTACAGTGACCAGGTACATGGTCAGAATCAGTCCCAAGAGGACAGGCTGCAGGTACACAGTGCCTTAGATTTCCAAGAGATGAAGCTCTGAAGCAAATGTTGAATATTATCCATTTACATAGTTTGGATGCCTGCGAGAAAGAAAAGATGGTCACAGAATAACAAATGTGCAGGTACCAAATACCATGAACATTTGTAATCCAAGTTCTCATTTTTAACAGGTACAACATTCAGGTCCACACACCTTCAGCAACCTCTATGTTTTGACAAACTGTCTCCTGAGAAATATTTCAGGACTGGCTTGTGAGTTAGTGATCAACTGTTTTACACATGTACTTCAGGACACTCATCTAAACAACTGAGAAGTCTAAGAATATCAGAGATCAGAAGTCTATAGACACACTGAAAGTCATCCTATATTTCTCAACCATGAAGAGATTAAAAAATATTCTTTTTTCCTACAAAATATATTTACTCACTAAAATAAATTTGAATGCCAGCACTAGACCAAAATAGGTCTTATTTTTATTAAGAAAATGGTACAGATATTTTTCACTTCCAATATTTGTAAACAGAGTTTGGCTTGCATTATGTGGTCATGAAGAAAATCAATAATTCATCAACAGAAATATTGCAATGTGAAAATTATTTCTCAAAAGCATTTTTATCATTTTTGTGCTTACTGACTTCTCTCCTTTGTGGGTATAAGTGCTGACCTGAATATTTATTCTTGTAAAATTATTTCCATGTATGTGTTTTGCTTAGCCTTCTTGGACACCAACTGTTAATGGATAACTATTAGTTAAATATCTACACTAATATGACACCACTGGAGAGGCAAGTGTTGGTAGATGAGAAAATAAAATAGGGGCCTCCTTAGGTCTTCTGACTAATCTTGACTAGAAGAAGTTAAAAAAGAAATTTTAGGTGAAGTGGGAAGGGTAGGGGAAAGGAAACAAGTGAAAATAAAAAAAAAATCAAACTTTTTGTAAATAGGGAAGGGAGGAGTGCTTGAAGCGAGGGCAGGGATATGGGGAAAAATGAGAACCAAGACCTGTCATGTAAAAGTACAAGACCCAAAGATGAATGCAACTGTTCTATATACCTAAAATGTATCAATAAACTCAATGAGAAATAAATAAATAAATAACTTTACTAGAAAATTTCCACTAGGAAGGGTGTCAAGGATGACGGTAGGTGAAGAGAGGAAAAATAAGGATAAAGAAAGTCACAAAATGGCCTTGAGACTCGGACCAAGTGATCAGAAAAGGAGCTTACTGGCAGGACACAAATAGAAAGCCAGGGGAACAATTATAAATTGCCCCCACCTCCAACAAAATATATGAAAAGCGAGGATTGGTTAGCTTTAAGACAATATGTGTTCTCACCTTTCACACCTATATATGTGTGAGAGATGTGAACACATAAACATACACACCCACAGAAGCACACACATACATACACACACATATATATATGTGTGTATGTACGTATGTATATGTATATATAGGCATATGCATATAATGTACACCCTAGGGTCATTACAGAGATATCCACATGCCTACTTACTATCTCTAAGCTAACCATGAACAAGATAAACCCTTGCCAACTAGCTGCCTATCCAAAAATAAAGCCTTAAAAAGTAGTAGGTCAAGGACAAGAAAAAAAGACAGAGCAAAAAGAAAAAAAAGAAAAGAAAAGAAAACAAAAACAAAAACAAAAACTGCACATAGGCCACCAAGAGAAATGACATTAGGCAGAGATACCAGAATACAATTCAGACATGAAAAATTCCAGGAGGGACATTGTGCAAAACTCATAAGCAGCTGAGTAAAAGGATTCTGAGTCCTCCAACTTTTAGGAGCCCCCTACCCTGATTCTTGCTTTTTAGGGTACATATCTATCTTTTTTCCTCTTCCTTCCTTTTCCTCTTTACAAGTTGTCTTCCTTTGCTTAAACTTCACCCTTCTAATTTTTCACTGGGCTGAGTTTACAATCCTGGTTGGCTGCTTACACAGCAGAATAATCGTGCATGTCCTCTTGATGTGAGATCTTTGGTTACCTGATCAGTAGCCAGACATGACACCACTAACCTAAAATGTAGCAGAAGTACACACTTCAGGTATCACTGACTTAAAAATAACAAAATGTTACTGAAATTGAATTTTACAATTGTATACATGTTTACTTTTGTTAAAGCCATCTAGTCGCAGCAGTTTATCTTACAGGAATGGTTTTGCAAAATGAATTTTTTTTGGTAACCTGTAGTGAACTGTTGAAAGTATTACATTTTATTTCTCATCCTAAATTTCCTAATTTCAGGATTAAATTTCCTTACTTAAGGACTAGCACCATGAGATTCCAAAGTCCAAATTTAAATGTCAACCAACTTATCTCTCATTTACAGGATTTTGTCACCCATTCCTCACACACAAAATGCTTTCATGGATGCAGAGCCTTTGCAAATACACATCTGTGATATAAATTAGTCAGTTTATTGTTATAAAAATTTTCAAAATTTATTATATCATGCAAGTGAAATTTAATAGTCAATATGAGCATGAAGAATATGTATCTGAACACAATAATGGATGTGTATTGACTCTGACAATTCACTTAGGTTTCTCAATAAAAATCAATGCTATTAAATACATCATGTCACTCTTAAACTTTCAAAACTACCCCTAAAGTCTGCTGATAATAATCCTTGAATGATAATTAACCATGAAATTTTCCATTACATAAAATAATTTCAGTTAGGCCCAATAGAGAGCTCTGGAAATTGCAGTGAGAGTGAGGAAGTTAACATTTTAGATATGTACCATTGACCTGTTACTAAATGTACAAAGAATATGAATTTGTACACCTCCCCCTGCTCTTAGAGCATGATGGAAATAAGGAGACTCAGCCATCTCCACAATGTGTGTGGATCTAAAGGAAGTTTGGAATTTAAATATTGAGTCACTTCATGTTTTCATCTTCATATAAAGCCCTCTCACTTTCTAAAATAGCAAGTTTATGGGTGGATAAAATTGAAAGAGGCGCAGAAGAACGAAATGATGAAAAGTGCTCAAATGTGCCTAGAGTCATTCACCGTGTCATCTAGTTCTATTTTGTATATTTTACTATTTTTATGCCAATGCAAATCTTTGCTATGTTCTTGGATAACTGAATGTAGTAGCTCCTACTATATGAAGATACAAGAGCCATGCACCCCTAATATTGACAAAAAAATGAGAGCTATTTTACTTTGGCTCTATTTCTAGGTCAGTCACAGGTGGGATACGAGCTGTGCACAACAAAGCACCAGAGTGTAGATGCCACAGCCATTATGCCTACATATAGTGATCCAGTAAGAGACCAATTGGTGTTTAAAGAGGATTTTATTTCTAATTCCTCATGTGTTTCAGAACAGAGGTAAGATCCAGGAAACTTGAAGTCAATCAACCTTCTCCAAAACAAGT